CAGCATGCTAGGCAGAGGGAACAGAAGATGCAAAGGCCAAGGGGCTGAGGGATGTTTGAACAAGTGAAACAAAACGGAAGCAGCTGGAGCCCAGGAGAGCGAGGGCGAGCCCGCTGAGAGCGGCAGGGGGAGGGCTGAAGGGTCGTTGAAACACCCCCAAGAAGCCGAGTGCATCCTCTCCCCTGCTGGGGACAGAGCCGCTCCGGCAGGTAGCACGTGCACACTGCTGCAGCACCTGTCAGTGTTGTACCCCCGCGTGTGGTGGCTTGAGTGCTGCTGCCATCCTGGAAGCGATGGCTTCCAGCCGGTGGTTTCAAAATGCCAACCGTGCCATGAGCGGACCAACACATAACCCACTGCGCCACCGCCGGCAGAGGGATAATAACAGGGATGCCGACGAGGACATCATGGCTCAAGTTGCCACCAGCTCGGCTCCGGGAAAACCCGCTTTCAATCCTCTCTCTCACAGCCGGGGGTGGGGGGGTGGGGTGGGGGGAAAGCCACACACCCTTAGGGGTCCTCCTGTCTCTCAGGGAGCATCATTCCTCTGTTGCTAGGAAGCACTGAATCCCCTCCCCCTGTCCAACACCCACCTGGCTGACCACACCGAGCAGAAGCGCCTGGACCCCAGTGGGGGCAACCATACCTGTTCTATGGGGGAGGAGACGGAGGCTAAGAGCCAGGAACCTGCCCCAGGACACCACTGAGAAGGGGCCGGGCCGGAATGAAATCCAGGAACTCTGGTGGGTTACACACATTGAGCTGCTCACCACAGGGCCAGGGGTTCGAACCCACAAATCTCTCTGCAGGAGAAAGACGAGGCTGTCTGCCCCTGGAAAGATTTAAGTGTTGGAAACCCACAGGGGCGATTCTATTCTGCCGAAGAGGGTCGTTCTGAGTCGGAAGCAACTCCACGGCAGGGGTTTGGGTGACTGGGTCACTGGTGACTCCCTCCGTGCAGCACCAGGGGAGTGGCACCGGGTCTGCGGACGGGCGCAGAGTCAGTGAGATGATTCTCCTGCCAGCCAGTGTTGACCCGAAGGCAAATCAGGGCACAAGCAGGGACTTCAAACAGCACGCATTTCTCTCCCCATCCATCCTGGAGGTCAGATGTCTGTGATGAGTCTCCCGAGCTCCCATCGGACTACTGGGGGCTGTTTGCAGTGGCTTGGTGGCAGTGTGGGTACACGTGGGGCAGCCAACCATAGGTTTAGCAGTTTGAAACTACCAACCACTCCATGGGAGAAAGATGGGGCTTTCTACTCTCGTCAAGAGTTTAGGCCTAGGAAACTCGCAGGGCGGTCCTATAAGGTTGCTGTGAGTCGGCATCGGCAACATGGCAGTGAATGTGGGCGGCTCCCAAATAAGGAGCCCTGGTGGCACAGCGGGCTAAGCATGGGGCGATTCATGGGAAGGTCCGTGGTTCAAACCCAGCAGTCGCTCTGCGGGAGCAAGATGAGGCTGTCTGCTTCCGTGAAGATACAGCCTTGGGAGCTTCTGGGGCAGCTGGACTCGGTCTGTAGGGCCAGGAGGGGTCAAAACCGACTGGACAGCACCCCGGGGGCAGGGGCATGGGTGCTGGCCGGACTAACCTACAGGCGGATGCTTCGGATCCACCCAGGAGCTGGTCAAACACAGGACTAGGGCTGTAAGGTCGCAGCCACAGAAAACCCTGAGGCAGTGCGTGATCATGAGGTGCCCACAGGATCAGTTATCGGGCATCAAAGAACAAAAATTCATATCACTGTGCGCTCACCTCCCTGATACAATCGCTGAGAACAAATGGGTGCACGGGCAGGTGTGGCAAAGAAAGCTGGTGGTGTCTGGCTATCAAAAGATATAGCGTCTGGGGTCTTAAAGGATTGAAGGTAAACAAGCGGCCATCTAGCGCAGAAGCAACAAAGCCCACATGGAAGAAGCACACCAGCCTGTGTGATCACGAGGTATCGAAGGGATCAGGTATCCGGCATCAAAGAACAAAAAATCGTATCATTGTGAATGATGGGGAGAATGCGGAGTGGAGATCCAAAGCCCATTTGTAGGCCACTGGACATCCCCTTGCAGAGGAGTCTCGGGGAGGAGACGAGCCAGACAGGGTGCGATGTAGCAACGATGAAATATACAACTTTCCTCTACGTCCTAAATGCTTACTACACCCCCCACCCACTATTGTGATCCCAATTCTACCTTACAAATCTGGCTAGACCAGAGGATGTACACTGGTACAGTTAGGAACTGGAACCACAGGGAATCCAGGACGGATGATCCCTTCAGGACCAGTGGTGCGAGTGGCGATACCGGGAGGGTGAAGGGTTGGAAAGGGGGAACCGATTACAAGGATCTACATATAACCTCCTCCCTGGGGGACGGACAGCAGAAAAGTGGGTGAAGGGAGACGTAGGACAGTGCAAGATATGACAAAATAATAATTTATAAATTATCAAGGGTTCATGAGGGAGGGGGAAGCAGGGAGGGAGAGGAAAAAATGAGGACCTGATGCCAGGGGCTTAAGTGGAGAGCAAATGTCTTGAGAATGATGAGGGCAATGAATGTACAAATGTGCTTTACACAACTGATGTATGTATGGATTGTGATAAGAGTTGTATGAGCCCCTAATAAAACGATAAAAGAAAAAAAGAAAACCCTGAGGCAGCTCCGTTGTGAAACGCACGGGGTTGCCGAGTCAGGGCAGGCTTAGGTGCCACGGGTTTGGTTTTGATTTGTTATCTATCATCTATCTATCTACCTACCAATCTATCTATCCTCTATTCCTTGTCTATGTTCTGTGTATCTACCTACCATCTTCGTATATACGAATGTATGTATCTATCATCCATCTACTTACCATCTAACCACGTATGTATCTACCTACCCTCTATGTAAGTATGAATGTGTATATGTATCCATCTGCTTTTTATCTCTCCTCTGATCTACTTACTGTCTATCTGTCTGCTTACCATCTCTGTTATCTATGTATGTAGACACACATCCGTCTATCATCTACCATCTATCAGGACTCGAGCAGTCCTGGTGGCACAGTGGTTAAAGCAATCGGCTGCCACCCAGGAAGCTGGGCAATGGGAACCCACCTGCCGCTCCCTGGGGAAAAGGGGTGGACGTCTGCTTCGGGAAACACCTACAGCCTCAAAACCCGGTGAGGTAGTTCACTCGGTCCGGAATAGACCGCAGGCTGGGTTGGATCGGAACCCAACCTCCCCGGGCTCTTCAGCCCAGTTCTGAACTTCTTCCCCCAAAGAACCAGAGCCGCTCAGAAAGAAAACACCTTGGAATGGGCCTTTCAGCAGCCCGAGTGGACGGGCCAGGACAGTCTCCCTGGTGACTGAACACAACACCGCCACCCCCACCTGAGCACAGGCGTGTCCCTGCCCGCCTACCCACCCAGGAAACCACCTGCTGCCGCCTTGAGATGGCGGTGTAAACAGAACCCCCACCCCCACCTCCCGCCCCTGGAAGCTGCTGCCCTGCTCAAGGATGATTAGCTGGGACGTGGAGCTGCCCTGCGCTGGCCAGAGCCCCGCCTCGCCCCTCTAAAGGTCCCGTTTAGGGCTGTGGATTATCACTTTTGCAAATAAACATCTGCCCACAGGACACCCTGCAGAGCAGAGCAAGGCAGGTCCAGTCCCAGCAACCCCGCCCCATCATGCCACTTGGGGCTCTCTGTCCTCAAGGGCCAGCAGAATCGGCGATGCATGGAAGGTCACCGCAGCAGAAAGAGCACCTGGAGCCGCTCCGAGTGGCCAGCGTGGGGTGTCGAGCACAGGGCACACCCTCAGACCAAAGGCCCAAGGAGGTGCTGAGATCCCAGCGCCAGGGGGAGGCGAGCCACCAGGATGCAGACACGCACCTGCTGCCACTGACAGCTAACGAGCGTTTACGGGTGCCGGCTGTGTGCCTGGCACGGGCCCGGGGCCTGCTGCGGTCCACAAACACGCCCTGCATGGTCTCCCCACATGCACCCTGGTACCGGCGTCCTGCGCCCTCTCTGCATACCCGTCCAGCGCAGGTTGTCTGCTTCTTCTCCAGGTGGGGCCCATTCGCCCCAACAGTCCCTGGTGCCCACCACAAAGGCATAAACATCTGGGGGGTTAGAAATAGACGGTGAGGCAGATGTTCGGCCACATACAGCCTGTCTGCTTCACAGGCCCTGGAAGCTTTGCCCAGCAATGCCAGCCCTGCCCTCTGCCCTCAAGTGGTCCACCTCTTGGAGAAGACCGAATGTGCTCCAGGGATCGTCAGCGGCTGGACCTTTCAGAAACAGATCACCAGGCCTTTCTTCCACGCCGATGCCGGTGGATTTGACCGGCCCACCTTTCGGTCAAGCCGTGTGCACCATCCAGAGACCTTTGCTACAAGGACCACACGCCACCTATGGAGCGCTGACCCCAAGGCACCCTAGCTTTGTGCCAAGGGGCCTGGCCTAGACGTGGGTCAGCCTCTCCCCTGCTCTGGGTGGCTCCCTCAGCCTCTGCTGTAGGGACCTGCCCCTGCCTGGAGGTGTGACTCCCAGATATGGCAAGATGCACATCATTGCTGCCTCTAAACTGATCAGCCCCAAGCCCAGAACCCACTGAGACACATCCACAAGACCCACAGCTTGTGTGCACGAGGTCCACGCATAATATGTACACAACGTGACTCACAACGTGGGTGCACGTGAGCTACAACACGGATTCACACAGCCCACTTGTGTCTGCATGACCCACATCCTGTATTCAAGTATCCATGTAGCCATCAATATACATGCACACGGCCCACAGGTATCCACAAGACCACCAGACGTGTGTATGTTCATGCACATGAGCATAAGCATAACATACACCCACATGACCAACAGCATCTATGCATGTAGAAAACAGGCATTCACATACCCCACCATGTATCAGTCACGTGGCCCATCACGTTTCCCAGTGACCCACAACATGGATCCACACAACCCACAACAAGTTTCATGCCCATGACCTATGCCATGTCTCCTCCACCTTCGCAGGGCAGAGAACCGAGGTGAGAGAGAAGGCCTGAGTTCAGGTGGGACTCGCTGGAGCTGCTGGGCCTGGGCACCAGGCTGCCACGTGATCCTCCTGACCCCAGTCACATGCTGATGCTGACTCTGGACTCACTCACGGGAGAGCCCGGCACCCAAAAGGTGGGCAGCGATCACTGTGGGCACGGCCAGAGCATGGTGGCTTTTGGTGTCCTCTTTATACTGTTAGGGGAACTATCCCTCCTCCCCCCCCTCAGGAGACATGCACTACTTTTGAAGAGCAGCAGCGAGGCTATTTTTAAGAGGCTCCAGAGACCCCAAAACCTGGCCTGGAATTGTTTCAAGCAATAACAGGAGCAAAGACCGGGCTGAGAAGCTTCTGCCCTTGAGGACACCCTGCTCTCTGCCTCCGACAGGGGCGGGTCCATGACAGCTCTCCTGTCTGACCTATCGATCTGTGAGCCTGACCTGCCAGACAGATGGTGCCCTTCACTTTAATAGCACAGCACGGCCACCACCCACCCCACTGCCCTTCTCCTAACCTTTCCCTTCACCGAGCACCAACCTCAGGGAGCCCACAGCCCCCTGTAACTCTTCTGCCCACCTGCCATGATGGGAATCCCACCACAGCACTGGACAAAGTCGGGTACATTGGGGTGATGGGCAAAACTCACCAAGCTTGGGCTCCAAGCCCAGCCCACCTGTCCTCAGCTGGGCATGAAGCTTGCTGAACCCTGGGCCCCAAGCCTCTGCAGAGAGAGGTGGAGGTGCTGGACCTGGCTCCAGGGCCGGCACCCACACAAAGAGACCCATGGTGTAGGTACAGACTGGATGACCGGTTCCTGGGAACTTCTCTTAATGCCATTCTTCCACATGCCCGCTCAGCAGGGACACGAGTGACGAGGGACCATCGACAGAAAACACAGCGAGAGAAGTAGAGGTGATCACAGGATATTGCATCTCCCTGGAAGTCCATGCCGTGGCCGTCATGAGCAGAGGAGACGGAGTCATGGCACCACTTGACAGCTGGGAAAACTCAGGCCTGAAGAGCAGAGAGCTGGCCCGAGCCCCACGGCTTGGGCACACGTGGCAGAACTAACGAGAGTTAGGACGGCGGTGACTGGGTGCCCTCTCTTGTTCCGGCCGATCTCTCTTTCCTCTGCAGAAGCACAAGTCCTTGTCTGCTTTTGCCAAGTGGGGATGTAAGTGATTTTTATTACCTTGGTTTGGGTTTTCTTTAATTTTCAATTTTCTCTCACAAGTGTATTATTCTTCAACGAGTGGTAGACACATATACACAAACCTTTTTGATTCACTAGCTCCACAGACAGGACTCCTGTTTTGAAGAAATAACTCAAATCCAGTTAAAGGTTTATGTGTCAAGATGAGAATAGAACTTGGAAGAGTGTCTCTGAATTGTTTACCAGGGGATGGTTCAATATCATCGTGGTACATGAATGATTCATTAAATAGCTTTTAAAAATATCTTAGAGATGCATTTACATATGTGATCAATGCTCATGGAAGCAGCAGCCAACGAGATCAAAAGACTAAGTGTGGCATTGGGTAAATCTGCTGCGCAAGACTTCTAGGTCCATGTGGAAGAAGCCTGCCAACCTTGGGATCCAAGGATTGCAAATAATATAATCTAAATATAAAGGAAGGGAATATTAAACACTAGAACAAATTTAAATGGTTCAGAAGGGAGATCAAATGATAAGCCATTGCATTTGACCTAACTACATCTGCCATGGTCGACGCTGAAACGCTGTGATCACAGGGCTATTCTTGCCCCTCAACTGTGGAGGGGGGATTCACGAGGCTTCATCCAGGTGTGGACCCTGTAAATGGATCTGGGGCTTCCACTGTCATCCACAGGCTTCTGCAAAGCAGGTGTTCACAGCTTACGCCCTGATGCCATCCCTTCCTTTAGATTTGGGGCAAGTGGGGCGCTAATAACGACGGGGACAAGAACGAAGACAATGCGCTCAAACGGATCGTGGTGATGCCTTCACAACTCCCCGTGATGCGATCGGATGACGGAATCGTGTGCTGTGAATTCTATGCCAGTCAATCTCTGAACCCCACAGGCGCAGCTCTCCTCTGCTACAGCTAGGAGCTGGAATCGGCGGAAGGGCCGTGAGGCTGGTTCTGATTCCCCCAGAGCCCTAGACGCACTGTGGCTGGGACAGCCAGCCACCAGCGGCTCCACCGGAGAAAGATGCGGCGGCTGTTTGCTTCTGTGGACATGTACAGCTTTGGACACCCAGGGGGCGGTTCTGTAGGATCACAGAGGGTTGGAATCGACTGGGTCCCATGGGTTCGATTTGGTTTCCTCTCAGACTACAGAGACAACAGCAGGGTCCCTGCCTCTAGAAGCTTCCGGGGCGTTGTTTTTGGTAACAGTAACCTCCCCTGGGAGGTTACACCATTCCGTGGGCAGTCATACCACATTTGGGGCCCATAGGGCTGAAGACGCCCTGTCACTAGGAGGCGGCGTCAAGATCCAAGCTCGGGGCAGGAGACCAGAAGCTAAGTGCCCTTCCTCCGGCAACACCCCAGCCCACCTTGAGTGGTCCCTGCAGTTCAGGCCTGGCATGGGGGTCTCCTCCCTGTGGCCAGCGAGACTGAGACCAGGGGACCCAAGGAAGCCCACGCTTAAGGGGAGGCTATTCCGTTTGTGTTCACGGGTGGAAATCGCCCTGGAAGTGATTTAAGGTGTGGCGAGATCCGGAAACCCACCCCCAAGACAAAGGCAACGGCAGCTCCAGGTGTAAGGTTTGCCAACAGCCATCAAGCGGGGACCCCGTCGCCGTGCTCCCGAGCTCCAGCCTGAGCGCGATCATCTGTCACGGACTGATCCCAGCCCCGTCACCTGCGTGTGCCAGGTGCTGTCGACGGCCGTTCACAAGGTGGGCGCTGCTTCCTCAGCCCCAGAGGACGGGCAGGCAGGTGGCTGGGAGACACACCCTCCAACCCAGCTCTGCGGTTTTGTCCCCTTGTGGTCTCACATGTGACGGCTCCGGTTTCTGACAAGACACACCTTAGGGGCCTAGGGGTGAGGGGTCTCCTCTCAGCCTGCCCCCCCTCCACCTGACCTTCACCCTCTGTTCTGCCCCTGCTCTGGTCCCCACCACCAACACAATGTCTCACCCAGTGCCCATCACAACACTGGGGCCCCAGTGCTCAGCTCTCCAACCAGATGGACAGGGACGGTGTCTACAGCCCCTTCAGCAGCAAGCCCAGCCCCTCTTTGAAGAACCCCACCCCCACCCTGATGTGTAATCCACTACTCAGGTGTACAAAGCCCAATCTAGGCCCCCAGCCTGTGTTCCTGCCTCCCAGGGCATGGAACATAGCAGGGCCATCACGTCTGACTTAGGGCTGGCTGGGCACACAGGGGTGGCCCAAAGGACCCCAGGCTACCTCCACCACAGCAGACTTTGAACAACATCAAGAGCAAAGGTAATACCAAAAAATTTTAAAAAAGATGTCTAACAAAGAATGTAATGAACTTGCAAAATCTGCTGCTTAAACAAACAAAAACAAAACCCTCTTAAAAGTATTACAAAGCAAAAGATGTCACTGTGCAGATTAATATGTGCCTTATCCAAGCCCCAGATTCTCAACTGCCTCGCGTGCAGGCGGAAGTTGGACACTGAATCCGGAAGACGGAAGAAGAATCGTTGCATTTGAGTGGTGGTGCTGGCCAAGAATGCTGAAATACCACGGGCTGCCCGAAGGACAGACTGATCTGTCTTGGAAGAAGGGCGGCCAGAGGGCTCCTTAGAGCCCAGGATGGTGAGACTCCGCCTCACATCCTTCGGATATGTTGTCGGAGAGACCAGTCCCTGAGAGGACGTCACGCTTGGGAAAGCAGAGGGGCGGGGAAAGAGAGGAAGACCCCCGGCACCGTGGCTGCGACACTGGGCTCACGCGTAGCAGGACGGGGCGGATGGGGTGTCTACGCGTCGGAACGGACTCAATGGTGCCTAGGAACAAGGGCACTGGGCAGACTGGCTGCAAAAGACTCCCTGAAAATACTCAAAAGCAAAGATGTCACTTGAAGCCTGAGGTGGCGCTGGCCCAAGGCACGGCATTTTCAGTGGCCTGGCCCCTGTGAACGCTGGACGATGACTATGGGAGGCTAAGTAGGAATTGGGGTCCGCGTCATGGCAGGTACTGGCCGTCAGGCACGGCCGTGATGTGGAGCTGACTCCGGAGGACCTAGCAGCATCTGTCACTGTTGGCCACAAGGTGGGCCACAGGAGGGGTGGGGGGTGTACGGGTGGAACTCCTTCTACAGTGTGAAGCTTCATGAACACCCTTTTGGTTGAGACCGCCCAAGCGGACAGCCATGCTCACCTCCAGAAGGGGCATCGGAGATCAGCAAGGGGAGCGGACCCGACCAGGGTGGCTGGTGATGTTGGACGGGGGAACCCCAGCAGCGGTCAAGGGTCAGGAGTCCCTGGGAGAGTCTCAGGGCTAACCATGCAACAAGAAGCCCAGAGGGTCCAGCACCAGAAACACAACAGCTGAACAAGGCCCACCCACTGAAACCTGCCGGATCAAAAAAGCATGTGAGTCACAGGCTCAGCACCGCACAAGCGGAGATCATTTCACGTCGGCCCTGCCCCACCCCTCACCACCCCATTCAGCAGTACTCACTCAAAAGCCCACTGCAATTGAGTTGATTCCCACTGATAGCAGCCTTGTCTCCGGTCTCTTAGGCTGTTCATCTTGACGGGAGCAGGCAGCCTCGTCTTTCTTCCGAGGATCGGCTGGTGGGTTTGAACTCACTGCCACCAGGGCTCCTGTACATCAGTAATAGAATTGATCCATCTAGTCCCACCATCTTCTTCATCAATCCTAGCCTGGAAAAGGGGCCCTGGTGGCCTAGTGGATACTCGCTGGGCTGCTAACCACAAGGTCAGCAGTTCAAAACCATCAGCTGCTTGACGGAAGAGGAGCTTCCTGCTCCTGTAAAGAGTGACCACCTCGGAAACCCACAGGGGCAGGTCCACCTGTCCTACAGGGTCTCTGTGAGTCAGACTGGACTCCACGGCAGTGAGTGTGGTTTTTTGGAAGCCAGGCTAATGCTTGAAGGAAGTGGTCACCTCCTGCCTTGAGGGCAGGCAGGCCCTGGACAGGGATGGGGGCGGGAAGGTGGTACAGCTGGCTTGGGGCACGCCCGAACGCAGTGGTTCTCAACCTGGGGGTCACGACCCCTTTGGGAGTAGAACATCCCTTTCACAGGGGCCGCCTGATTCACAGCAGTAGCAAAATGACAGTGACGAAGTAGCAACGAAAATAATGTTATGGTTGGGAGTCCTCACCACATGAGGAGCTAACTGTATGAAAGGGTGGAGGCATAGGAAGGTTGAGAACCACTGCTCTAGAGGAAGCTGGTGGTGGTGCTGGGTTCTGTGGGGTGGATTGGTCTACAGTGGTCCTAGAAGACCCAGAGGATTTCCTAGTCTGTGGGCCCAGTGGCCCAGGGCCTTACGCACTTGGTTGCCAACCACAGGGTCAGCAGTTTGAAACCGCCAGCCGCTGTTTGGGAGGAGGGTGAGGCATTTTGCTCCTGTAAAAAGCTACCCTCTCAGAAATCACAGGAGCAGTTCTACCCTGCTCTATAGGGTCGCTATATTGGAAACGACTCGATGGCAGTGAGTGAGTGTGAGACCTTTGTGAATCTCAGATCATGGCCCAGAGTCTTGAATCACTGCTTCCCGGAGTGGAAAGATCCAGAACCTCTCCCTCCAGCACCTCATGCCACCTATCTGTACCCTGGGCAGCCACGCGCGGGCTCTGCCAGTCAGTGTCCTGGACCTCACACAACTTCCGCTGGTTTTGGTTGACTGGGCTGTGTCCCCGAGTTGTCTCCTGCCCAGCTCAGCCTCGGACAGGCCCTCACTCCGCACGGGGCCTTCCACCTCTTCCTTCTATGTGGCGAACCCCCATGACTTACTCTCTCTTCAACCCAAAACACCCCGGTCTCCCAGTCGCCTTCCAGGGAGGCCCATGTGACCCAGGCTCCCTGGGCAGACACATTCTCAGCAGCCCCGCTCGCAGCTGGCCACCCTGCCCTGATATCACAAGTGCTAAGTGACACCTTCGCCACCCCTACAGACAAGGTGGGCCTGTTTCCCACGCACCTCCACCCTGGCGTCTGGGAGGGAGCCTGGTGCCATGCGGGCTCTCGGTAAACACGCCGTGGGAGTTGCTGGTGCAAGAGGCTAGCTGAGACCCGATGAGAAATGGTCCGCGGACTGGAAGAGAGAGCACTGTGTTTGGGGGACACAGCCAGTCCAGCCGCAGCGCGGTACCTGAGGATGAAGTCACTTTCCGTGGAGTCATCGGGGAGGTCACAAGCCATTGCGTCACCGCGCGAGCCCTTCCAACCACGGGGGACGACTGGGACATAATGGGACAATTCATGCAACAGCTGTGACATCAACAGCCAGGTCCCTTAGAGCATCCAAGCCAGAGCTCCCCATCAAAGGGTCTTTTGAGCAAGGGGCGCACGTAGCAACCACAGCTCTGGTGGGCTGTGTACGAGGGAGGCCTGAGCTCTTTAGAGCAGCCCCGCTTGTGCCTGTGTGGCCTGCATCTGCCCCTCACCGTCTCAGAGTGTGGTGCCAGTCTCAGACATGGGGGAGAGTTCTGATGGTCACTCGGTCCGGGGGGCTCTTATCAGGGACGCTAGACCTTCTGCAACCTGAGGGGCATCCTCCTCCAGGTAGACCACCCTGGCTCCAAAGACAGGGCTGCCCCGAGTATCCGCAGGGTAAAACAGCTGCCCAGAGAAAATGAACCAACCAGGTCACGTTGTTCTTAACGAGGGACCCCAGCCCCACCCCCAGCCTCTGTGAGGCGGTCAAGTGCTTGGTCACAAACTGAAAGGTCAGCCGTTCAAACCTACAGCCGCTCCACTGGTGACGCGCAGCAAAGATGTGGCAGTCTGCGCCCCTGGAGATGATGTCAGCCGCGGGGACCTGGGGGGCAGCTCTAGCGGAATCAACGCAATGGCCATAAGCAGGGACTTGTTGCTGCTCTCTGCAGAGCCCTCTGCCGACCCAGGCTGGGCCCGGTGCCTCCTTGAGACAGCACCTTACCAGCCCCTTCCTGCACACGTCTTGGCTCACACCCACCTCCTCACTCACGGAGCACCTTCTCCACCCCAGGGTCTTCGCCCAACACAAGGTCCTGCAGCAGAACAGCTTCCCAGGCCGTCCAGCCCCTCCCATCTTGACAAGACCATCCAACCCCGGTCCCCCTCCCTTTTCAATAGGATAGCTTCCCAGCCCAACTCCAATCATCTCTCCCATCTTCGAAGAATTCCAGGTCGGTCTGGTCTAAGCGACTCACCCAGTGCTCAATCATTCAGTGTTCAACCACTGATCAACGACAGCCACGTGATCTCCACGTGGCCCGAGTGCAGACACAGGCCTGATATGTATTCTACCCGGTTGGGTACACAGGACAACCCCTAGCTAGTGCTAGACTCTGTTATCCATTCACCTCACTGAGGGGCGCCCCTGCCAGACTACCAGCCACCACGGCAAAAAAATCAAAAAGGAATCTTCCTATCAACTTCCACATACGGAGTCTCATTCTGATAGCCTTTTGATATTAAAGTAAACATTTCTGGAATATTTGTGATGAAATGTGTTGATTGTGTTTGCCGTTTATTCTCCGGCAGGTTTTCTGGAAGTATGAAGAAGCCGTGCTTTAACAACAGAGTGTCACAGGATTTCACACGGTGGCAATTACATTTTTAGTATCTTGACCAAAAGCTACTGTGAACACGACGCTGTGTTCATAAAAGTGTTGTTGTTGTTGTTGTTGAGTCTGTTACAACTCACAGTGACTCCTCACAACAGAAGGACACACTGCTGTGGCCATTCCATCATCTGGTGTCAATCTGAGAGGATGAAGAGTGAAGGGGTGGAGTCTAGTCTGTCAATCGGGTCACAGCCAGTGAGGCCTGTGTGTGGCATGGCTTCTCCTGAGGATTCTGGGAACTCCTGTCTTCCTCCCTGAAGGCAGGAGACAGAGACATACTCGCTCTCTCTCGGCTCACTTCTTTGGAGACTCTTTACTGACAAGGCTGACTCCCTGTGAGACATCGCTGAGAAGCCACATGGACCCACCCTGATGCAGCCAGAACTCTGGAACTGGAGAAGCCACGTGGAGACCCTTGCCAGCACTGAGATGCTTCGATTGCCACTGGACTCACAAGACTTCCCACCCACTGGCCTGTGATCGTCCTGCATTCGGCATCATTGCATGTGTTTCGTGAGTCTGAAGAGGAATTTATGGATTGGTAACGGACATATGGGTTAATATCAGACTTATAGGCTTGGACTGGACTGGGTTGGGATGCTTTCTTAATGTACCATTACCCTTTATCTAAATTCTCTCTTACACACATATGAGTTTCTATGAACTTGTTTCTCTAGTCCACCCGGCCTTACACAGCGGCCCTCACCATCATGGTTCTGTTTGAGCCCATTGGTGCAGCCACTCTGCTGATCTGAGGACCTTCCTCTTGCTCGCCGCCCTGCCCCTCCACTTCACCAAGCACGATCCCCTCCTCCAGGGACTGGCCTCTCCTGACAGCATGTCCAAAGCACGGGTATTTAATTTCTTACGAGAAGGTCTACATTGGAAACAAAATCTTGCAAGATGCCTGATGCCTAAGTGAATCTGTGGACTCCTTGCAACCCAGTGGATGAAAAATGAAATGTACAGAATTATTTTAAAAGCTATCTTCAGAGCAACAACACAAGGAGCAGACTTCTTAATGTACTGAAATAGATACATAAAAATCGCTATATTTGGGGGGAGGGGTAGCCTCTTGAAGGTAAGAGAAGAAAGCGATTCTCCCAAAGGCCTACATGCATTTCCTGTGGCTGCTTTAACCAACTGCCACCAGCAGGGCGGCTTAACCTGTCTGGGGGCCAGGAATCCCAAACCAAGAGCTGTGGGGGTGCCGGGTAAGAGTTGTACAGCTAACTGCAAGGTCGGCGGTTCAAATCCAACCCTTCTTCCTTGGGAGAAAGAGGGCTGTCAGCTCCCGCAAAGATTTACAGCTGCGAAAATCTGATAGAGGGTCGCTTAGTCTGAACTGACCATCTGATGGCAGCGGGTGGTCAGGCAAAGGCTCACAAACTGATCTGGCTTTAGTGACTCCTTTTCAGAAAAACAAAACTTACTCTGCACCCCACCCCCCTACCCCCCCCTACCCGGCACTACAGCTCCTCATTCAGGACAGAGGTATCTGCTTTTGCCGTCCTCCTGGATCGGGGCTTCAATTAAAGGCCAGGCATGGCTTCCAACTCGATCTCTTCCCACTTAGCGGGGCCAGCACTCTGGGTTTGTCCTTACAGATCAGCTTGAGAAAGGCTGGAGGAGGGACAAGCACGCCCACAGGCCCTGGAAGGTCCCCAATCGATCCTGTCTTTCCTGGAATCTCCAAAGGGGGTTTCCGCAATGC